TGGGTGATTGGGATGGGAGAGAGGTGGCTGAGAGGTCTTGGGGGCTGCTGGGAGGAAGACATCTTAATGAGATTGTGACTTTTCTTTCGACTCAGCGAAGGAAGTTGTTCAAGTGTTGGATGTGATGATTAGAGTAAGGTAGATGATTGAGAGTGGAGTGAGTGATGATGAGCAAGAGAGAGTATCTGATTCCTAAGTTCTCATACCTCCTCTTATACTCGAAACCAAGCCGTATTTCCACGCTCAAAAGCACAAAATTCTCTGAGTTTCCCATTCGCTTCGACCTTCACCGACTCTTGGAATGAATCCGTCGTCTCGATTCCTCAATGCGGTCAAAAACCAGCACATCACCAAGCCAAAAAGCAGCAAAGGCGTTCAGCTCCTCGTTCCGAGCATGTTGGGCCATTCGTGTTGCCGTACGACCGTAGCTGCATGCCATTTAGAGTTTCACGATGTCTCTCCTGCGGTTGCTTCTGGACCTTCTAGGCTCTGTCAGCTGCGTTGCCCATCATGCCATTTCATGACGCCTTTTTTCGTGATGTTGCCTCAGCTCAAACGGGAACGGTATCAGTTGATCGTGAGAACCCTTAGAATATCTGAGAATCCCTCGCCGGATTGAGACTAGAAGCGGGCGGGGTAACCCATCCCGCGTGGTTAACCGTCGTGCCCGTCTACCAGGTGCGTGCCGTCCAGTGTCTCAGTCGTTTCTCAGCCGCACAAATGTTTGGTCTAGGCAATTCACTTTTTGGTAGCTAGAGGGCGGCAAGGCAGGTTCCCCGCGCGTGGCCCGGTCCGTGGTCCTGCATGTTGATGTTCACGGTAACCCGGAACACGATGAAAACATTCCTGGCGGGGGATTTTGTGGCGTTTCCAAGGGTCCAGCTGAAATACCATCTTGTGTGTGTCTTTCTCGTTCTCGGACCCTGCAAACAGTTGTTCGTCCAACACTGGACAAGAAAATGCCGGCAAGCGAGATAAGGGATTGCGTCTTATGAGGCCATTCTGAGTACAGATGGGCGCTTATTACGAGGTGAGACTTGAGAATGAGGAAATTTGCCATTTCAATGGTAAAATGTTGCAAGCCACTCAACGGATGAATGCATGGCTGCTGCATCAGAACGGGTAGAGCCGGCTGGGAGTGACATGATGCAGCCAGGGAAACTTGCGCATCTAGGCCAGTTTTTTCCTTGCCGGCATGGTTTCGAGGTGTGTGGTCGGTGGCGTCTGCAAAATGTGTGGTTTTGGGTATGGTCGAGGATCCATCCCATTCATGGATTGAGGAATTCCTGCCACACGAGTGGCGGTGAAGGTTTGAATGTGAATGTTGACAGAATCTTGGTACATGTAAGTAATTTGAACTTTCGATGCTCATGCTGCATGAAAATTGAGGGCATCGTGCCAAGTATCGAGAAGGGAAAGAGAAGGGTGCATCGTGACATACAGTCTTGAGCGCATGATTCCTGCAGTCATTAAATTTGCCACATGTGTGTAAATCAGAGTGGCGGCTGCTTTCTGAAACCTACAACATGCCATCGAATAATGTTGTCAGGCTGTGCATGCATTTCAAGCTGGAAGCATCTAGACTATACGTGATTGTATCCTCGCATCTAACAACAAATTATTGTGACTATGAAATCCTTTTCCTGGAGATACATGTAAGTTGCTGCATAGCTTGTTGAACACCCGCAGTGATTAGTATGATGTGACACCGACTACCATAGTAGGCGTTCACGAGAACAAAGGTCCAGATAAGTACTTGAGTCCGGTATCACAAGCAATCGTAACTATCTTTTTCCCTGGCCCCAGCTCTTTCGCGATTTCAATAGCTGCTGCGATATTCATCCCCGAAGATGTCCCAAGTATCAGGCCTTCCTCTCTGCACAATCGACGGCACATATTCCGGGCGATGCCTTCATCCACAGTGCGGGCCTCATCGTACAATTCTCTTGTAACATGAGGGGAGATGAAGCCTGGCGCGACGCCGTCAACACCGTGTGATCCGCCCTGGCCCTCAGTCAGCAAAGCCGCCGACGAGGGTTCCAGTAGCACCACGCGGACGTTGGGGTTCTGCATCTTGATAACGCTTGACACCCCCATTGCCATACCTCCCGTCCCGAACGCGCCGCAGAACACGTCAAACCCGCCAGGGAACTGGCGGACCAATTCGTTGCCAATCTCGGCATATCCAATAAGTGCATCTCGGTTGCTGAACTGGTCGGTGTAAAGGAACTGATCGCGCGAACCCAATTGTGCCGCACGGTTCTTCATTGATGCCATGAGATCCGCTGTGGTGTTGCCAGAGGGGCTGGGCGTAATATCGACCGTAGCCCCAAAGGCAACCATTGTCTGCAGCTTCTCTTTTGCGTATGCGTCGGATGAGAGGGCTAGGAACCTATACCCCTTCACCGCACAAACAAATGCCAAAGAGGATCCAGTGCTTCCGCCGGTCGCTTCGACAACTGTAATGTTGGGCGTGAGATCACCACGGCGTTCGGCTTCCTCAACCATTGACTTGGCCATACGGTCTTTGTAAGAGCCCGTTGGGCTTAGGAACTCCAGCTTGACAAATACATCGGCGCAATGTTCGGGGACGATGCGCTTGAGTTGGATGACTGGGGTGTTGCCTATAGCATCTAGGACGCTGGAGTATGGCAGAGGGGTAGGTAGTGACATGTTGGACAAGAGGACGGGTTTGGTTGTGATGTAAGTCGGAACAGTGAGTCGTGCATTGATATGAATTCCGGAAATCTGCTGGCAGTTGATAGTTAAATATTCGCAGCAGAACCTAAAGAAAGTATGATTACGTCTGGAAGTGATGCGATGGCATTTCCCCGTTGATAAGCTCTGATCGCAAATGCCTTCCATCTTTCTCCATGAAGTGGATCGATCTCAGGGATGTTCCACCTGGTTGCAGCTTCAGAAAAGCTGTTGGCGTGCTCGGACTGGGGTATTCTTACACGAGCATCATCTTAGTCTCTTCGGCCGACAGATTAGGTCACTAGTTAGTGACTCACATCAGACCCCTTGTGGGCTGAATGCTGAGCAGAAGTTCGGTTATTGTAGTAAACATATTCAGAGCGGGACTCAGATATATAATCCCATCTTCAAATCCGTCCACCGGACCTGCTAAGAGGCTGCCAATTCTTCAGACGAGTGCTAAGACGGAAGAGGGCTGGCTCGGGGTTCGCTTTTCGAGAGTAGTAAGAGAGGATAGAAGCAAATTTTCACCGTATAACGTACACTCATGTATCAGGAAATTTGCAACATCTACTCGCAGACAGTATTAAGAAATTGTTTGTATCATTTATGACTAGTCATTCCGCGCATCATTATACAGCCCTGTACTATGATGCAGCAACGCAGCAAGATTCCTCAACCCACTTTGCTACCCATAACATCTAACTTATTACTCCTGGCAGATAAACACTCATCTCAAATCCGCTGGTAAATGGCAAAGTCATATTCTGGAAGCCGTTCTTCGGCTCTCGCAAGAATTCCAACAAATGCTTGTATCCGTCCGCCGCTGAGATCGTGTTATCAGTCAGGACCACCGCGCCAGGTCGTAGTCGAGGAAGAACTGTCTTAAGCGTCGGCAAAGCGAGCGCCGACCAAACTATCAACAGTTTAGCCACACAGAGTTCTCTTCACATTATAGCAGAGTAGTAACTCACTGTCAAGAAGGAGAAGGTCAACCCACGGAAGCCCCTGCTTCAACGTTTCGAGTATATCCCCCTCCCGTAAGTCAATCTCTTGCTCGACCACCGAACCGCACTGTTTCCAGTAGCCGCGCGCAATCGCAGCTTTTTGCCTCTCTTTCTCCGTCGCAATTACGGTTCCGGATTTGCCTGTTGTAGCCTTGGTCTGAGCTACAGCAAGCGCAAGATAGATGGTGCTGACGCCGAAGCTCGTGCCGGCTTCCACGACATTGGTGGCGCCCATAGCGTTGATTAGCTGGTACGTGAACCGGCACTTGTCTTCATCCAGTGCGACGAACTTATCCAGCATGAGCTTGTCAAACTCGTTCTTGGCCTCTCCCTGGCCATGCTGGTCTTCTAAATCGCCGATAGCCTTAGAGGAAAATACTTTGCCGGTCTTGGAAAGGACAGCCTCCTGATCCAGTGACTTCTGGTGAAGCTCAGATAGGAGTTGTAGGATACGCTGAGGTGCGTTGATAGTGGCGGGAGCTGGCATGTCGTAAGGCTTGGTCCGCGAAGGAAAAACTGACTAGATGTACGAGTGTGAAATATGCGTAAGTTGGAGCGGTCTTGAGGAGAACATTCCTGTTCTTTTTGAGGCTTATATAGCCATCGTTTGCAGGGTCGATACGCTATGGGAATTGAAAGCGGCACCGAGCTGGTTGCCCGGTTTTGTCTCCCTTGGCTTCGATGCGGCGGGCAAGTGTTTGCGAGCCTGTTCCCTGTCAATGAACTAATGGTGTTCGGGAAGTACAGGATAAGCGGGGTGGTAGTTTCCCAGCGAGTTAGCGCAATATGCATATGGGGGTATGGACGTGAGCAGAAGAAGGTGTCTGTTAAGTGTAAAGTGGGTATAATCACCACAAGCTTGCAGGCCCAATGCTATGATTGATCCCAATAAGTCCTACGGCGCTAGGGCGAGGTGGGAATGGGAAGCAAGTCTGGTTCAGTATCAAATGTCCATGACTCTCACACTGCATGTAGTCTGTCACGGGGCCAATGGCACAGTTTCTGAGCTCCGACCCAGCTTCAAATGTTATCGCCCTTCGACGCTGTATTTCTGCAGGTTTCCTTATCTGGGCGATGCACTATGAAGTTCAGAAAGACCGATATGGTTTATAGAAGATTATAGGAACATACATAACATCATCTTTGACCACTCTGATTCTACTATTGTGCCTTAGCTGCTAATTTTCGCAAACGCTAAACTTTGAACAGGAAGGTCAAGTTGAGTGAGCAAGCACGTGGCTAGAAGGGACGGAATTTCAATTTTTTTTAGTCGTAGGAACGAACTGATCCATTCTCTCATGCAAACCAAGGTACTGGCAGGTCGGACTCAATACAGAGCCACCATGGTATCGTTCCCGTTGCATCTACCAATTCCCGCAGATCCTGTTGTATCCATACGTTCTCAATCACGGACCGCATAACACGTACGTTCCCGACATTCCTAATTTTGTCCATGCGGTCCAGGATGTCAAGTATGTAAATGCGCTGTTCTTCCGAACGCGTTTCGCATGCGAAAATAAACACTGGCCAGGGGCTTGTCGCTACACGCACTTCTTTCATCGCTGCGTATGCCTGTTCCAAGTAGCTAATTCTCTTCTTCTCGTCGCCTGCGACAGGAACGACACGCTGGAGGTATAGCAGACTTGCCAAGCGATACAATTCCGCAGTGGCTAATGCATCTCGAATCTGGGCGCTCGTCGAGTGTGCAACTTCGTCAGGGCTTAGGAAGTGTACTAGGCTCTCCAGCTTCTCTTGCAAGACGATCCTGAACTGTTCTATATTTCTCTTGATGTCGCTCCTCTCCGACTTCAGGATCATTGTGCGTATTTGGTTGATAGACGATATGTTGTCAAAGACCTCGACAGAGCAGCCAAATAGACCGATGACCTTGTTAATGTTAGCAAAACGTAGATCCGTGCAAGCGTCTCACTTCCCTCGCCAGGCATAGTCTGCAGCTTGCCGGAATGTTCAAGTTGGCCAAAGTCATTGAGAGTGCTCCTGTGAGGCTGTGCGAACTCGCTGAGAGTATCGTAATAAACTATCCACCCCATCAGAAACTGGAACACGGGTTGACGTCGCTGGTATGACGTTGAGTTCATCAGCATATGCTTGGCACCGTTTAGATGTAATTGGAACTGAGCCTCATTTTCATCAAATACCCGGTTATTGTTAACAGAGAACGTCTAGCTCAATGCTCAGGTACCGCGAGCTTACAGTGTACATGCACAGCATCATTGTAGTAGCCACATGAGTTTCGGCACTGAGAGAAGAGTTGTCGAGAGTCTTGTATAGTCCGTGGATCGCCTTAATCTTGTGACTTGACGCGGCGTCGGCTCCTTGGCGATGATGAGCTGCGATCGCTAGAATCGCGCTGCACAAGGCTTGCGTGGATTCATCCCGAGAAGATAACACCATTGGAAGGATATGACACCGAAAGCCATTTGCCGCCCGGGTCGTTGAGCACATTGGCGCTATGATCTGATCGTCTGCAACCGTCAGTCAGAAATCTTCGTAAAGTAGCCAGTCAGGTCCGCACAGTAAACCAGGAGCATGCCGTCTTCATCTAGCTGGGGTGAGTAAAGGGTAACAGAAGCGACTGGTCCAACAGATGCTCGGTGCATGACCTGATGCCACGTGACGCGTCGCTTGGTCGCCAAGCGGAAGTGTCTGTGAGTGGTATTGAGGAACCTAGTCCCAAGAGTCTGGGGGTGCTCTTGAGCACTCGCTATCTCTACCACGGGGCAAACGATTAGATCTTTCTCCCTGCTGCGAAGCTGGTCAGGCCAGTTCAGGCGAATCCCGTAGCCAGCACACTCTCTCCTCGTTCGGACGCAATTATCGCAGTGCGGAATGCTTTTGTCACAGCCAATCTTTCTCTCTGGCTCAGTACGGGAGTCAGTACTCAAGAAGCTCACTCCCGATGACGTCGTGGTCAGTTGCTTACGCTTGCAAGTCCAGCAACCCTTATCCGCCTGCATCTTGAGTCGGTAGGCCGAGCCGAGCTTCTGTAGCCGGATTTATTATAGATAATCGTGATCATATCATTATATTGAATGATTGTCTCAGGATATGTACTAGCTCTTCCCAACGTATCCGGGAAAATCCCTTATTTACCTAGTGCGTCGTGATCTCTGCTCTCTTATTGGCCGGCCCCGCTATCATCATTATTGTGGGCCCAACCTGCCGAGGTACCTTGGTCTTCTATACCTCTTTAGAGCCTGGCTTGCACTTCTGTTCCATCAGCACGTATAACTCTAGTTTTTCTCTAAATCGAGATTCACTATGAGGTTTAAATTTAGTGAAATAATGTGTGAAGGTGTGTATTATTACATGATTGATTACTAACCCTCATAAAAATATGTGCCTTTGTACTGACGTCTTGCCAACAGGTAAAATAGCTGCTGTGATCTAACGACTTCGATTGAAGCGCTATCTTTTTTCTTTTTCTTTAATACATATAGAATTGCGGAAGTGGAATCAATCAGCATTCTCAGACTAAGAGAACCAACACATAACCCTCGCATCGAAGCTCCTCTGATTCATCGCCTGCCCACACCTTGTAATTGAACCAGACTTCGGGTCTTTGACACACGCAAACTCGGCTATCCCGTCACACGATAACCTGCCTACCCCACTGTCGTTCCCATAATATTTGCAATTCTTATGGCCATGAGCTGACTTCAAAGCTTTGATGCTGTTTGGCCAAGGCCTTTCCGTCAAAGGACGGCTCGGCATCGCTTCTCCAAGACGAGTAGCCTCGCATACTTTGAACGCCGAGTCTTCTCCATCTCTCTCCAACATCACCCACCGCCCACCTCGGCCACCTCTTTCTGCGGGACGGTAAGCAATCTCGTACATGATAGCGATTCCCTCGGTAGACTTTGGCGGTGGAGGCGGCGGAGGTTGAAGAGAGGGTGCTTTTGAAGTAAAGGTGCTAACTTGCGGCTTACTTGAAGTCTTCGATGAAGTGGGCGCAATTGTACTCTTCGGAGAGGATGCCGATTTGGTCAGAAATGAGTGGCCTCTGCTTCTTAAAGTTGACATTACATCCCCTGTGGAGCGAGTTGATAAGCCTGGTCCCGAACTTGTACTTGCAGCGCCTTGTGGATGAGATGTGGTATTCGTCTGACCTCAAGCAACGGTAGCTGAGTTGTGTGGAGAACCTGTCGGGATGGACTGCGTAAATCGTCACCCATAGCGTCAGCCTGTGGTCTGGTGGCTTAATTGCATGTTATGCAAGGAGTGTCTAATTAATGAATAGTCGTATGATGAATGATATATTTTCAAGCCCTCTGGCGCAGTGTACAACCATGACAGGGTTAGTCCGATAAGCGTTTTTGTAGGATATCTTCACTGCATTAGACAGATCAGGGCCACAACTCAGACTACAATGAAGAGTACGGAGCAGGTGTTACAACTTTTGCTTTCCTGAATCGTGTGGCTCAGTTCAACATGTCCATAGCATTGTCTTTGTTGGCGTATGGTAAGTGCAAAAATTGTGGTACAGAACGTTGTGCAACGCAACAAGAGCTTTCCTAAAGCAGAGGCGCGGGCTTATGAAAATATCGAACAAGGAGATTCTTAACGAACGGTAACAGGGTAGAGCGATGAGAAATTTGGGGTGAGACCATTTCAAGATGCTTGAATCTTCAACATTGGGCCATGAAAAGAGTCAATGCATGCTCAATAACAATGAGACCTGCCAAGAGTAAAGACATCTACAGCAAATTATCTCGTTTGGTGAGCTGGTAACTAGTTTTACTTTAGTGTCAGGTAATACGTGTGGGCGGAGAAGAACATTCAAGAAACATTGACACTACCATTTGATTATACAGGAAGCAAACTCGGATTTTCAATGCACAATCGAAACAGCAATAATGGCACCATGTCAACCACCACGGTGTTAATCAAGATTTCCCGTCTTGGTCTCACTCACAGGTCCCTGATGTCAGGAACCATGACATGACATAGGCTTTTCAATAATATACGGAGCTCCATGAATGTATTCTGTGACATCCCTATTGGTCGAGTCATGCTAGATTCATCCGGATGGACTCAAGAAGCCAGGCTCACAATAAAGCTAGTAGTTCTAACAGATGATTCAGTCAAAACCCTCACAATATGTGCTGCAGAGTGTTAATTATGGGTGTGAAACTCAGAAATATCGGTATGGTAGTTGAGTTTAATTATCTAGCCTTGGACAGGATCATTTTAGCAAGTCTGCTGGGTAAGATAAGTGTAGTGACTCGGAAAGCTCAGGGTGCCTCTCGCCCGGGTATCACCGTTGGCAACAGTGCCACACCTGCTCACAATGATGCCCATATCGATAGCGATATCACTACAGTACACACTCGTCTCGATAAACCGCTGTTGACGTTAGCCTTTGTCTTTGGTATTATGAAATCCAGGGAAGAGCGACGACTTACGTTGTTGCACAGGTAGATAGAGCAGCTGTTGGAGCAGGCCACGCGAGCACAGGTGCTGGCAGGTACACTGCAGTAGTTGGTGCCCAGGGTGATCAAACGGTTGATGGCGTTGGCGCACTGAGAATAGTACGCTTCGACGTACGTTCCTTGGTTGCAATTCCAGTTGTTCTTTGCTTTGAGTTAGCTTTTTGGTCTTCTCTGTTCCAACCCAGGTGCAGTAGACTCGAAAAGTCTATCAGCAAACTTACGGTAGTCTGTCTAACCTCCAGGCCTCCCTCTGGCTCCTGGAATTCTTCCGCATTGAAGGTAGGGTTGATGGCGAGGATCTGCTCATAGATGGAGGAAGCATCTCCATGGAGGGTGACATTCGGGCCGCCGTCGACGACTGGCCCAGTGAAGGTCATCTCGGAGATGGGCAATAGCTGATCCTTCACCTCATCTACAGTTCGGAATTCCAAGCCATTGTCTGAAGGAGCGGCAATAACCTAGAAGACTCAATTAGTCAGATAGCTCTTAGCGCAATGTTCTCCTTGCCTAGGTTACATTTAGACTTACAGCTGATGCCAAAAGGGCAATACCAGCGACAAAGAATCTCATTTTGAAGATATCTGGATCGAGGTGATCAAGAGTGATTCTACTGTTCGGAAGGTGATGATGAAGAGTTAAATAGCCACATGTTCTTGAGAAAATCATGTGTCTTAAATAGTTTCTCGCAAGTTTTGAGTTATTTACCTATTGACCGTATGAAGTAGACTCTAAATTCGTGTCGTATTATTTGAGGTTGCATTATACCATAAGATCTGGACCCTTGGCAAAGCGGCGGCTCTGTTGCCCTGTCGGTTCCGCGATCCTACGTTTGTCTCCATGAGGAAGCTCAAATGCTCGAAGGATCGCGGGCCGCACTAGTTTGTCAACGCCACACTCAAAAGGAGAACGCATGCCCTGCCAAGCGAGCCTACTATTGGTGACATCGGAAAGCTCTACTGAGCCGAATCGCATTTCTTCAATATTGGGATTCATTCACTGTATCTGCATGCCCCCAATGCAACTTTGATGATGACCTACTTTGTAGGTGAATGCGTAAGGTTACATGTAAGCTGACTCTCCAGGGGCGCGGACGGTCTCGAGAGTGGAGTAGAGCCTGTGTTGTGTTGTTGCGATTAGGCTCTAGCCAGGAACATGTGTAAGTAAACAGTCAATCGAATCGAAGCGAGTGTCTAGTCGCCTAGCAGAGAACGAAGGATAGTCGGGTCCAATCGGCTTCAAGAGACAAAGAAGTTGCAGAGACCCTTGCGAAGGATCGATGTAACGTCGAAAATCGGACCATCTCGTATTCCCCTCAACCGTTGACAGCTCTAGTTTGTCACGAAGTTGAGCTCAGAGAGAACCTCGCAGTCAGGCTAGAAACGAGACCACAGGTCACTGCTCTCTTGTGGCGGATGACGATTTCGGACACGAGGTATGGTGTTCTCGTATCAGTACGAAAGACTACTAGATCATGATCACGAGACTCTAGCACGATGGCTGAATGAAGAACACAGATGGCGGATGCGATGATTTAATTGGTACTTCCTTTCATCTCATTAAGATTTCATGTATTATAAAGCGAACGGTGCACGTCTAAACCATTATTCTTCCGTCTTCCCAGACGATACCGCACCCCGCAGTGGTCTGTCACTAGCGAAAGAGGGATCATTCGTCTGCGTCGTAAACTGCAGCTTCGATGCCAGCAAGTCGACGCTGTCAACAGGAACGTAGTCAGCAACTCTGTATCCTGACTTTCGGAAAACCACGTGAGAACTTACTACATAATAACGGGAAAGAAGCAACCGAGCGCATAAGCAGCCCGATCCACGTATCTCGTCGCGGGACTACTCTGCCACACGTTCAACGAATGCGTGATCACCCGTATCGCCGCCGCCACGGCCAGCGAAGCGACGCGGATCTCTGTGCTGCGCATCAGGTACCGGATGAAGCTCGTTCGGAGACCGGCTTCCTTTGACGACTTTCTGACTTCGGTGAAGATGCGGAGGAGAAAGTAGGCGCTGACGCACTCGCTGACGGCGAAGAGGCCAAAGTAGGCAATGTGGATCCTGATGATGATGCTCTGGAGGCTGTCGTCTTCCCTTAGGATCCGGAGGAGACGGTAGTAGATGATCACGACTTTGACGACGGTGACAAGGACGAGAGTTGACCAGAACACGATGTGGAAGACTCTTCGTTTCGTCCCCCGCAGAAGTCTGTTGAGGATGATGAAGCTGTAGAAGGGCAGCCCTGCTTCTTGAATCTATCGGGCTTCCGTTAGCAACTTGAGGAATAAGACCTCCGGTGATACAGGTAAGCGGGTTGACTCACGAGCCAGCAGATATCGCCAATGGCTGCCGCCGCGGCCCTCTTCGCAAGAGGATACGGCTTGTCATAGTACGCGTGGAAATAGAGTCCATTCGCGATCGCGCCAGCTGCAGACGAGACGATGGGTACGACCGTGAGCTTAGAGAACGACGTGATTCCGATAATGAGCAGCCCCAAAAACACGTTGAATACACCAATTA